GTGGTGGTGTGGTGGTGTGGTGGTGTGGTGGTGTTATGACGTTGTGGTGTTGTGGTGTCGTGACGTTGGTGTATTTTTTTCTTTGTTCCCTAATTATTTTCTTATATTTTGATATTTTACTCCGCAGGTTGGTGTGGACTTCACCTTATCTAATGGTGATCCAACTGAACCGCATTCACTCCATTATATGAAGCAAAACAAACCTAATGAGTATATTAAAGCATTAACGTCTGTCGGGGAAATCTGCCAAGACTATGACACGTGAGAAATCGGCCACAATATATTTACCCTCTTTTTTGCCGTGAAAAATTGATTCTTTCCTTTACTAATCAGGTTGTTAGTTGGTGACATCGTGACATGCGCTATTATGAGAATAACGTTTTTTTAGTTGTATAAATATTCATGTGTCTTCTCATGCGCAATGGTTGAACATAGAAATGATACTATGGAGATTGACATGTGGTCTGTAGTGGGAGAATACTTTTATTACGTCGAAGTTAAAATGCCTAAAATAGAAATATATATCATATGATTATGTGACTCATTATGAATTTCAATTTCATAGATGGGTGAGTTGAGAAGTCTGATTTTTAGTTCATGCCGGTTACTTAGGTTATCTGATAAAGGGATAATTTTCATTAACAGAGATAAGCTTTTCCCGGCTTTTGGATTCGGTGCTGATATTCCGCCAAAGTTTCAGGCAAGTAACTTTTCTTGAAGTGGTGCTGGTGCTGGTGCTGGTGCTGGTGCTGGTGCTGGTGCTGGTGCTGGTGCTGGTGCTGGTGCTGGTGCTGGTTACGAAGGGTGTCGATGAAGATGATTTTTTATTTTATACTTTATTCTCCGAGCTATACTAACGAAATTCAATAATTCATTAAAATATTAAGAATGATTCATCCTAAAATGTTGCTTTCCATCCACAGACCTCCCATGCATTTCCTTTGAACTTCAACCCTGCGAACCCGCAATGTGAAGGTATATTCATAATCATGAAGAATCTGTGCAGCTAACTGCCATTACCTCATATCGCTCATTAACAAATAAATTCAATACAAATGCAAGGCCACATCTCATCGTTATTTTGATTGCCCTACTGTTGAAGCAAAAGTCATTAGCCTAATTACAACCTCACCTTAGATAGATAATATTTAGATCGAATGTCTGTCATTATCTTGCAGGTATCATTGGTGTAGTTGCAGCATATAAAGCTTGTTTGGCGCAAATAGAACTTTCAGCTCCCACCAATACAGCGCCTATCATACAGCAAGTAGCGGAACTCGCTTCGGAAGCCTCTCGACAAACAACTGCCTCGGTATGACATAGCCTTTATTGAACTTATCATAAGTTAGAAAAATTACTGCCCGATAGGTCTCGAGGGTTTATTCTATTGTTACTTCTTGACAAAATAAGGAATAAAATGAGTCCTAGTATTGATATTTATGCGGCACACTTTATGAAAAACCGTAACAATGAAATTGCTTCTCATAAAAATCTAGTGATGTTACTGTAATAGTGGGAAACGAGTGTGACTTACAGCACGTATACGGTATATCATGCTGTAACATTGAAATGGCTTTCTATAAGAATGGTTATAGTACGAAAGGAGCCGTACGGTAATGCATTGTAACTTTTGCTTCATTTTATACTTTTCTTTGCAGCAATACTTTGTTCTGTTGATACTGACTGATGGTGTTCTGTCAGACATGGCGGAAACAAAATATGCCCTTGTCTGCGCATCATACCTGCCGATGTCGGTGATTATTGTCGGAGTTGGATCGGCTAACTTTTCTAAGATGGAAGAATTGGATGCTGATGACGGCTTGTAAGTTATACACCACCACATCCATTCCAGCAACACCACCACAACCAGCAACATCAACATCACCACCACAATCTGCAACATCAACATCGCCATCCCAATCTTTACGAGCAACACCGCCAACACCACGCATCCACTCATGCGCGATCTAACCTCCGCTAGCTTTCTTCTCCTTTTACGCTTTTTTTCTATCGTTTTAATGTAATGTTTGGTAGATATTTCAAAGTACACGTATTCTCAATAGCACCCGGGGATTGTGGTCGTGTTGTCATGACCATAGGARCGTGACCGTCTTCTGTACAGAATTTGATATCCATCAAATCTCTTTTACGTCACGGCAATGAATCCGCGAGTGCTATCAGGCTATTGTTAATGACTATGTAAAAAGATACTAGAGTGAAGTCACTAAACCTGTGCAATAGATATTAGACTTATACACACTTAAGTAAACACTAATTCCATTGTTTTCTTTTGTGTCTATTTGACTATACACGTTAGTATTTTATTTCACGGCTGGTGAAATGCTTTCACTACATATAGTATGTTGTATATATATCTTATGTAAAATGCTTTTTTCAGATTGAGTGTACATGGAAAAGTAGCTGATAGAGACATTGTGCAATTCGTCCCCTTCAGAGATTTTGAAAAGGTAAGTTCGCAAACTATGGCGCTCTTTCTGTATCGGCACTCTCAACCCGGCGGACAACCCGATTACGAATTGCAAATGACCGTTTCTTTTCTTCCAGAAATCACCAGCTTTACTCGCCCARCACGTCCTAGCAGAGGTGCCGAAGCAGGTCCAGGAATACTTCAATAAGAGAAAGATCCCACCACTAAACCCAAAAGGTCCAAGTCCACCATCACTGGACGCTCTCTAGAAAGTCTATCTTCAATTTTCATAAATACGACAAGACAAATAAGAAATAGGAATTAAACGAATAGAAGATAGAAGATAACGAATGAGAAATAAAAAATATAAGGATAAGAATTTAAAATTGAAATTAAAAAAAAAGATAAAAGAAACGAAATAAGAAATACGAAAGGACAAATAAGAAGTACCATAAGAAATACAAAGGAGTAAGAACTAAAAGTAACAAAAAAAAAACAACTGAGGTATAGGAAATTAGAGATAACAAGAGAAACACGAAATTAGGAATTAAAACTTAAAAACGAAAAGAAAAAACAATTAATAAAAAGGAATTTAAATGTATTAATGGTTTAGGTAATTTTGCTCCTCAGTTTCTAGTCATGTGTTATTCTCTAAATGGTTGTTATTTTTTTCTTTTTTTTTCTTTTCTTCGTCCCTTTGTTCTTCTTTTCTTAATTTTCTCCTTGTTTTCCTTCCTT